AGCACAGTGAATAAAGTGTTATCAAATAAAATCCTTCCCTGATGGGATGCATCCTTTGCAGCAGCAGTCCCTGGCTACAGATGTATTCTCCAGGGAAGGCAGAGAGAAGCAGTCTACAAAGAGCACAATTGCTATCTGAAGTATACAGTCAGTGGCCTAGTTAATGGCCTAGGCAACTTCTTTACCAGCAGTTCATTCCCTCCAGGGGACATGATGCACATGGCACAGTGCATTGATAGCTGGGGCACCTCTTGCATTCTCTCCCGTACGAGGGAGAAATCCAGCTCTAATGCTTGCAGCAGCGGTAAGCAGGCTGAGTAGTCAATGTTCAGTTTTAAAAGGCCTCTCCTGAATCTACACAAAGCCAAGAAACTTTTATCCAGTACCCATAGATATGAATAGGCTTCCACTCGTATCCAGTCAAGGTCGTTTCCTTTATGCCGTTTTCCATGGCACCTGAGCAGCTTTAACTCAGCTTGACTATAGCCACACCTCAGTTAATGGTCTCGTACTTGGAGGTGTAGGTGCAGGCTTGAAAAATAAATACTTTTCAACCTGGCACCTTCTACTCCTTAAAGCTACAGCAACTAGAGAGCCACACCCAGTGTCAAACAACTGGTAGGCAAAGCAGTTAGATAAATGGAGAATTCACTCTTGCCCCAGAATTCAAAAGCAGCCTCTTAAAAAGTTCAGGTGACTTTCAATTTGACTGGGTGTCATTTTTATCCTGGCAGCCTCAGAAGGGGTCCTGCTCAGAATTCAAAGCAGAAAGGCAGTGAAGCAACCACTCAGGGTTGTTTTTATAAGATTTCTGGCCCCGTCACAAGCAGGAAGTATCAGACCATAAGTGACAAAGTCTGTGCTTGCCAGATTTTTACGCTAAGAGCTGCAGGCGATGTTGAGATGACGCATGTAAATCTGAACTAGGATCACAACCTGGCCCACGCTAATAAAACTCGGAGACAGTGAATAAATCAATATGCTGGTGGAAAAATTTACCCTGTAATGTCTCTAAACAGTGGGACAACATCAAACACACAATCAACTCACTTCCAGATGAAATGTTATGCTGGATTTGTTCCAGATCATCCAATTCACAGCAAACTAAATACAGAAGCTAGGGTACCATGTTATCTGGTTTCCCATTATCCACAGCAGTATCATAGTAGTGTCCCACGTTTGTCACAAGCATGCATATCCCTGTCACAGTAACCACCAAAACTCCTAGAGAGGAATCAAAGGTGGGAATTGTTTTTCTTCACTTTCTGCCAACTCTTGTTTGATGTTCTGTTTCTCAGTCTGGCACATCCCACCCCAGAAGTAGATGCATTTCCATGGTACTCTATGTCAGCAGTTCCCAACCTTTTTTTGCAGCGACCTGCTGCTGGGAGCCGAGGGAGGTGGTGGCCTAGGGGCAGGGGAGCTGCCAGCACATAGTGCGGCTCATCCTTTGTATGTGGCGCCTCCAGCATTGCCCCCACAACCCTCATTTGGGTCGCGACCCGAAGTTGGGAACCACTGCTCTATGTACTGTGAATTCCTTCAGGATGAAAGTTTCCATATAAGAATACAGCATTACTTCTGCATAATTCTAATCACACACAAATTGGTCTCATGCATTTGCAGCTACTTGTGGGTTCTAAGTCACCTGTTTTGTCACAATAATTTTAAAGGCAATGCTTCCAAAAAGGAAATGAATAAACATAAAACCTGTAAAAGAGGAGAATTAATGTACAATTTCAAACAAGTTATTTATCTCCCTTTTTGCCTCTGCACAGTACTGTAGGGATAAGCACATAACTAGCTGCTTTAATATTTATTCCTATTATATGAAAAGTAAACATTGCTGATAAGTCACTGCTTTGCAGGGTTAGATTTCATTTTTTAGAGACTGCTTTAAATTAATTCAGAAGCAAACATTATCTTTTCCTCTTATTCATATATTTCCCTAATGAGTTCTAAGCAAATTGTGCCTACTTATATTTTATGATTTTAAATAATTAAAACATTTTATGAAGGCAACTAAAATTCTCCCCAGAGTTAGCAGAAAGATTATTGATTGGACAGATCTCAAGCTACAAGAAAAAAAAAACTTAGACTTTAGTTTAAAGGCTCATAATTTCACTTCTAGTCACCTAGTAAAAACAAAGGTTTTGTGCTTTTTTTTACTGCAATCTTGGGAATTACCCCTGGGGGGTTTTGGTTTTGTTTTGCTTTGTTTTGGGGGGTTGCTTTTGTTGGAGGTTGAGCAGTCAGAAACAAGCAACATTTTTTTTTTATATTGATTTGTAGGAGACCGCTAATGTGAGCATCTTATTGCCAATATAACAAATAAATTGAATGTCTGACTACAGCATATATTTGTAATAACGTGGTTTCCATTACTGAGAATAAAAGCTCTGCCGTATGTTCAGAGTTTAACTGAAATCTGCACATGCAAAACACAGTCATGTAGGGAGCCCAATTTTCAAACATAACCAGGACACAGGTCCCATGTCTGGGGCCTGAGCCTCTTCTTACAGAATCACCATGAGTTTTGTCAGCCACTTCAGCTGAAGCAAGAGTGGGCCTTTGGGTCTTCACATCAGCTTTACCATCAGTAAGTGCCTGAAAGTGACACTGCATGGTTCAATACACAGGATGCTAGACTAGGACTTTGGAGTTCTTTCTTCCATTCCTGGCTCTGCTACTAACCCACTGTTTGACCTTGGGCAAGTCACGTTACCTCTCTCTCAACTCTCCACACCCCACTTTTCCTGTCTCATATTTTTTTGTAAACTCTTGAATCTTACTATGGGTCTGTACAGTACGTAATATAAAGGGGATCTGGGTTCAGCTGGACTCAGTCTATGCTCTGCTGTAATACAAATATCATCGTAATAGCAATAATAAATACTTCCAATGCAACACTATGCAATGGGCTCAGCCAAGATCTGGCCCAACTCTGCTAGGTGCTGGACAAACAGAGGATAAAGGACGGTCCTTGCTACGCTGAATTAGTAATTGAGCTAAAATTCTCCTCTTCCAAACTCTCAAGGGTTTAGGGAATGCAGAGTCCTCATACTGATACCATAATGCACTCAGCACTTTCCTTTACTGCAGTTTAAGAACTGTAAATAAGGATAGGAAGCCAGCACCAAGCAACCACCCAATTTTGTATGGAAGTGCTACCCAGGTCACTAGAAATTCATGGATCTCCAGTTAAGAATCAGCAGTCGAGGAGCCTGACTGAAAGCCCATTAGAGTCAATTTAAAAACTCCTCTTCACTTCAGTGAACTTTATATCTTAGGACCACTGTTATTCAAGCCAACTTCTGGAAACACTCCTGCAGGCTGAGAATTACAACAATTGGCTGGAAAAAACGATTAGGAATACATCTCTGGTGTTCTTCGTTAGGTCAGATCCTTCCCTTTACACAATTAAAAGAGGACATGTCAAAACAGACTGTTCAGGGACAGTCATTTTTCCAGAGAGGTCCCACAAAACCAGCGGAGTATTTCCATCTCCCGTCTAATTGAAGCTAACAGATGAATAAAGGAGGACATGCCATACTTCTTGCCTACCCCAGTGTTGCTGGAAAACCCACAATACCCCAAAGTGACAGTGGCACAGGGTGATCATATAGGGTAGCCGCTATTTAGTGTCAATTGAAAAGTCTTCTTTACATCAAAGCAACTCCTGTTTAGTCCGATATTTGACACAATGGAGCTTGAGCATCTTTGCTTGTTCCAAAGGAATGAAGAGGTTGGTCTCTCTGAATACAAGGTACATTTTCTCTCTGGGATTATGAAACACTCTCATCAGCTGTTGGTGTGCAGTTCTCAGAACTGCTCACAAAATGTGCTTAATATTTGTCATAAGAGACCAGCAAAGGACTCTCAGAAAGACATAAGGGAACAAATGCCCCAAAATGGACCCATGGCACTGAAAAGTGAAATTACTTTGCAAACAAAAGGCAGGTATGTGTGAATGGGAGGCTTATTTTATTATAATCCTGCCTAGCACAGTTACCACAATTTGTTGATGAGACTAGGACTGCCTCAGCTGTCAAAAAGGGCTTTCTGCTGGGATGCTCACTCACTCAGCTCTGCACAGGATGGGATTTCTGCATGCTGCTCTCCCCTACTTGATATAGAAAGCAGTAGAGGTGGCAGGCCAGGAG